AGGACGATGCAGTGGGGTGACTGGAGTGGGGCCCTGTCCCCACTCAGGCTGCCTGGGGGCCCCCTTGCAGGGCAGCCGGGTGGGAAAAGCACTTGCTTTAGGCAAGTTATAATTTGCTCCCTGGGTCTCAGTTCCCCTATTTGTCAAGGGAGAGATTTGGATGACTTGGGGCCACTCTTCGGGGCCCGAGAGACACATGACCTTGCCAAATGAAGGCCTGTTAGTAACTACCTGGGCAAGGCAACCCTGTCCTCAGTCCCACTGCATTCAGGAGGAGCCATGGGCTCCCCTCCCTGAGCCGTGCTCTGCTGGGACAGGCACAGAAGAGAGAAGGGGTGACCTACGGAACGAGGGGCCAGTGTGACTGCTGATAACACTTGTGAACCTGGAATTGGCTGCTTAGAGGGGGATGCTGGCATCTGGAGTCTTCTCCTTGCACTCACTCCTTCTCCTAAGACCTTCCGAGGTGCGTCAGGCACTCCTGCTCCTCAGGGCTCTTTGTTCTTGGACTGCTGACCCCCTGAGCTGACCGTGGGAACGCAGAAAGCATCGAGCTCACTGGCGTCTAACCCAACAAGTCGCACCTGGGAACAAGGCAGCCCAGTCACTATAAGTCATCACCTTCCTTACCTCCAAGCCCCACGGTCCAGTCTGGTCACATCCAGACAAAAGCCAAGAAATCACTCCAAAGGCCCTAGAGGCAACAAAAGGGGTTTGCAAAGTCCTGCATGACAGCTGGCAGACTTCTTAAAAAAAAAAAATTTAATGTTTATTTGTTTTTGTGAGACAGAGACACACACACACACACACACACACACACACACACACACACACACGGCATGGGTGGGGGAGGGGCAGAGAGAGAGGGAGACACAGAATCTGAAGCAGCTTCCGGGCTCTGAGCTGTCAGCAGAGCCCGACGTGGGGCTCAAACTCATGAACCGCGAGATCACGACCCGAGCTGAAGCTGGACGCTTTAACCGACGGAGCCACCCAGGCGCCCGTGCAGACTTTTCTTATAGCCTATTGACTTGTGCTCTACACACAATTCTAATGTATTTTGTTCCGTTTTTCTAGTTGATGGCAGTTTAGAAACCTATTTAGAACCAGAGAAGCACTGACATATGACTGAAATGGCACAGAGACAGAAAAAGTATAAAGAGCAGGCGTGAGAACACAAAGAACAAAATCATCCTGCTCCTGGGAAAGCGGCCTTCGTTCCCTCAACACTGACTTGCCCTCTGGACAGATGCTGGACTGAGACTGGGGGCAGGAAGGACCTTACTCCCGTGGATGGTTCTGGTCCGGGAAGCCGCATCCCTTCTTTTCTTCTTCCTTTTCCTCCTTGTTACATAAAGAAGCTAAGACAGCTTACGAAACTACACACAATAAGATAGAGCTGAAAAAATGTCATAACCAGGAATCATGCCATCGGGCGAGAAGGCCACCACCCTCCAGAGATCCGCAGGGCTCTTTAGCTCTAGTGCGATTTAGGGCAGGGGTCCCTCCAGAACTGCCCAGGATCTATGTGCCACTTTAGCGGCTGGACCTCACCGCGAAGGTGGCTGGGCTATGTGTGGGAATGGGGATGGTAAATGGAAAATGGAGGCCCACCTGCTCTCAGGAAGTCCTACTGAAGGTCTAGCAGCTCATCATCTGGGTTCCCCTTGTGCACTTTCCAGGCCCTCTGAGCTAATAAGACCGGCTGCAATCCACACCTAACCCTGGCCCTGAGGACTCCAAGGGGCAGGCAGCCGAGGCTCTCCAGAGAGGGAGGACCTTTGCCTCCAGGAGGTTCAGCAAGGGCTGGGGTCTCGCCCTCTAATCCATTCCTCCCCTGCCTGTCACTCCAGTTGGTAAGCAGTGATTCCACCTTCCAGACCCCCTTCAGGATTCTTCTTCGTACCTGGCTTATAACTAGACCAACCCCTCCCCTCCCCTCCCCCAGGACAGAGAGCCCCCCCAGTCTCCATCAGAGCTGACTTCCTCACCGAAGCTGTACCAAGGCCCAGCAGAAGGGACCCAAGACATCAATGAAACTCACTGCTGCATCTCACAGATGGGAAAACACAGGCTTAGAGATGGGAGTGACTGGCCCAGGATCACACAGCCTGTGTGTGGGTGACTGAGGACTAGAGGCCAGGCTTCAGACTCCCAGAGCACTGTGGTTCTTCTGGAAATCATGGCGCAGGCTCTTCCAGCAGGCTCTCAGGCAGCCGGACTGCCCCCAGACCCCTCTCCTGCATTTCTCCTGTTCTTGTAGCCCTCCCCACGTGAACACTTCCAGGCTGTGAAGGGCTGGCCAAGGGGAGAGAAGATAGGGTTAAAGTGGGGATTTTATTTAATCCTCTGAGCTGGCTTAAACCGATGCCACGTTGGTTAGAACAGGAGAAACATACAGAAGGGTTTGGCGGCGGGTGGGAGAAAGGGGAGGGCATTAGTGAATAACCACTAGATACCGAGAGGCTTGGCCTGCCAATGAATTTAGCAGACAACTACCCTCCTTCATGGCGTCTCCACCCCAGGGCCTGAGCCTCCAACTACTGACCCCCTTCCCTGGGAATAACCCAATCTCCAGGGTACTCAACAGTGTAGAGCAATGGAAAGATCCCAGGCCATAGATTGAGACGCATCTGAAGGCAAACCCCAGTTCTGCTACTTACTCACTGTGTGACCTTAGGCAAGTCACTTGACCTCTCTGAGCCTCTGCTTCTTCCTCTCTTAAAGGGGGCTGAACATTCCTTCCTTGCAGGCCTCCTGGGAAGGAAGACTACCTGAGCTCATGCACATAAAGAGGCGCAGGGGAGGCATTGAGTCAGATGTGAGTGCTATTATTACAAATCTCATATCCTTTATCTCTCATCCAGGCCCATCCATTACTCTTCTGCCTCGGCCTGCTTGCGTCTTCGACATTAATAACCTTAATGATAATAATCCTTCCCAGCCAGCCCTGCCGGTACTAGCCAAAGCAGACCCTCAGCCCCCAGGCACATCTTCCCGCAGTGTTTCTAAGAGGCAATTTGGGCACTGAGCTCAAAGACCCTGAACAGACATGCTGTCTTACGGCAGGCAGATTTCATGGGGGCAGTGGTAGCCCCTGGCTTATCAGAAGGAGCCAGGACCACCCCTCCCATCACCTCCACAGCTGACCCTCCATCTGGTCCACTACTCTGACCACGAGTAAGCTGCCCTCTCCATGTTGGCCTCCGACTCTCCGATTCTGACAGCCAGGTGGGCAGCTACTGGAATCTGGCCTTGGGTGTGTGGATTGCCGGACCAAATGCCAAGGCCAGGCTGTGAGCTCCTTACCCTGAAGGAGCGCTCTGAGAAGTGTGGGTTCACACCCTGGATCTTCTTCTTGGTTCTTCCACTGTCTGTCACCAGCCCCAGGATCCACATTATCGTCCTCATATTCCACAAGAGGAAACTGAGGCCCAAAGCAGAAGGGCCCAGCCAAGGTCATCCACGGGGTTTGGGGGTGATCCGGGGAGTGAACTCAGGTCTCCTCAGGTCTCCTAATCCTGGGCACTTTCTACCACCCTGGTCAGCTTTCCATACCAGGGAGGCCCCGAAGTCTCTCCAATGAACCTGGGCCCCAGTGCCAACAGTCCAAGAACTCTCTTCCAATATGGGAACTGCCAGAATGCGCATCTCTCCCTTCCCTGTCACGTTCCCTCTTTAAGCCAGTCGCCACAGAACCTGTCCTATCCCTGGTAGCAACTCCCGGGGCTGGGGAGCGCCTTCTCCACTGAGTAACTCTGGAGGGGGGCCAGAGTTCGCGGGATGGGCGGCAGAGGCCAGCAGGTGGGGTGGGCTTTCCCCTCGGATGGCCTTCCCCAGGACGACAAACCCGTTCCCACACCCACTGTCCTGCCAGCGACGCTCCCCGTGGCGCGCTCCAATGGGGGACACCACGCAGCTGCCTAACACTGCTCTCCAGGGGTTAAAAATGCAGCATCCTAAACAGGGTTAAAAATGCAGTCGCGGGGTGGGCCGGTGCGGAGAGATGTCGTCCCAACCACCGCGGCTGCTAAAGCGGCATCCAACCCCCTTCCCTCCGCAGTCCCTGGGGCCCGGAACGACTGGAGGGACCGGGGAAGCAGAGGAGGCGCGCGCCGCACCTTCCCGGCACCAGTGCCCCCCTCCCCACGCCCACACCCCCGCGCCCCCAGCAGCCGAGGCCGGGGGCTGCAGGCGCCGGCGGGTCCCGGGCGCAGGGCGGGCGAGCGGCGCTTACCTTTGTGACAGTCATGCAGAAACTCCGGGGCGGTGCGGGGGCGCGGGCGCGGCGTGCGGGGGCGGCGGCCG